GGCGTCCGTCCGTCAGTCCGTCTGTCTGTCTGTAAACAATTTTTCAAAATGCTACTCCTCCTACAGTTTTGGTCTAATTTCAATATAACTTGGCACACAAGTAGACTACACTAAGATACATAATTTTGTGTATCGGTTTTTGATTTCGAGAAACGGTGTTGCCGTGGTTACTAAAAATAGAAATTTCTGTGAAATTCTTTCCAAATGCTACTCCTCCTACAGTTTTGGTCTGATTTCAATATAACTTGGCACACAAGTAGACTACACTAAGATACATAATTCTGTGTACCGGTTTTTGATTTCGATAAACGGTGTTGCGGTGGTAACTAAAAATAGAAATTTCTGTGAAATTCTTTCCAAATGCTACTCCTCCTACAGTTTAGGTCTGATTTCAGTATTACTTGGCACACAAGTAGACTACACTAAGATACATAATTCTGTGTATCGGTTTTTGATTTCGATAAACGGTGTTGCGGTGGTAACTAAAAATAGAAATTTCTGTGAATTTTTTTTCAAAATGCTACTCCTCCTACAGTTTTGGTCTAATTTCAATATAACTTGGCACACTACATTAAGATACATAATTCTGTGTATCGGTTTTTGATTTCGATAAACGGTGTTGCCTTGGTAACTAAAAATAGAAATTTCTGTGAAATTCCTTTCAAAATGCTACTCCTCCTACAGTTTTGGTCTGATTTCAATATAACTTGGCACACAAGTAGACTACACTAAGAACATAAAGAGACTTTATCAAGGATCATTATTCTATTTATTGCTGTTGTAAAGTTTCCATTCCCAACTGATTAAGTACTTTTCTCTTCCTTTGCTATAAGAACAAACCAGTAGAGCTTCAGTCTCGACAGAGACTTCTGGTTTTTCAATTACTTAGCGTCCGCGATGACCTGTTGTCAGATTGTCTCAAAATACGCACATTTATATGACAATGCGCAAATAAATGTACGACGTAAAACTTACAGAGCGAGTCTATCGAAGCAACCGGAATTTACCAGGTTGATTAAACGGAAGTGAAATTTGTCAAGTCGTACTTAAAACTTCAGTTAATTGAAGCAACCCGAATAAGCGGAATTGAGCATTGTCAAGTGGTACATTAAAGTTCAGGGTTAAAAGGTAGTAAAAACACTATATTTTAAGAAATTTTTAAGAAATATTCCATCGATTAATTTGACAATAAATAGACTTCGTCCTTTTGTAAGTGCTGAGAGTGGTTAATGCAATGGTTCTCCGTAAATCTTGCCCACAAGCTGTAACAGACACACTAACACATACACATACACAATGCTATATCCCCCCAGCAACTAGTTGCGAGAGGGCATAAAAAAAAAAAACATACAGTGCCATGGCGTTTACAGGTCAAATTTGCAGTTGGCAGTAAATGGCAATCTATTTCTAAAATCATTATGTTATAATTAAAATAGAGGTTTGCATCTTTCTTAAGAGATGCGAAGGCACATTAATATAGAAATGACAGAAAGAAATTAATTTACTTCCATGTACCCTTTTGTACTTTAATTATTAAAAGGGGATGTACTGTGTTGGGAAAATGAAGTACATCCTGATCATTTTCTCAAATTTCTTACAGTTTTGCCCCTATCAGCCTAGTTAAGGAATTAAAATAGATGTTTTGGGTCTTTTAAATAAATAGTGAAGACACGTCAAAATAAAAGGATATAAAATTTCACTTTACTTCCATGTACCCTTTCGTTGCTCTTTTATGATCGAGAGGAGCTGCTTGGCGTTTGGAACATCAAGCAGATCCTGGTCACTATCTTCTCCACTTTTTACTTTGTTCAAACAAGTTAAAAGACTGGGCTGGGCGATGGGCTCCTAGGGGTATCTGCGATGGGAAATTCCGCAGGGTTGGCATCGAAGACGGCTCCTTCCTAGTGGGTGATTTGGACCTCAGGGGGTAGGCAGGTGTCTTGTGACCGATCACGTCCGGCTGGATTCTCATCAGGCCCATGTTATAACGTCCCAACTCTCTCCCCGTGCTGGTTTGTCTCTTCCTACTGAAATAATTTCTATTCCAGATATGAGATAGACCTAGAGTGGTCAAAGTCCATCTGAAAAGCTCTGTCTGGTAGCAACATCCAAATTCTCGTCCAACAATCCATATCTTGAAGATTTCAACACCATTAGATAGGTAGGAACCGGAATGTCTTTTTGGTCAGTCATGCTGATTTGGCTCTCGGTACACACTGATTGAAAAAAGTAATCTGTAAGCGGGAAATACGTCCAAAGTCCGCCAAAGTAGTTCCGACTTAATTAAAGCGAACTCGAGATTCTATTGATGCAGTTATTAACATAACTTTTTTATCCAACCAGAATCGGTTATTTCATGGAAATTTAATGATCTCGAAATTACAAAATTCTTACAGAAAAAATCTTGGAATCAAAATAAGTACCCTTTTAACTTAAAAGCTAAACCCTGAGTCTACCAGTAATGCTTATCTCTTCTTTATACCTCCTGAGAGCCTCCCCCCGGAAACCCACGCTCTTCCCTAGGGATGCGCAGTAGATCTCCTGTACCACCGGCAGTCGACAGCAATAAAACATAGTCAACATATGCATTACAATAAGAAATAAACATAAAAATATAAGAAATATAAGAATTTTTTTTTTACAATTTGACAGTTTCTCATAAATATCAAAGTTTGACTAAATAAACAGTGCAGAAAAATGCCAAATAGAATCAGGCGTGATATTCCTCAAAGTGTTGACCATGATGGCGGTGTCTATTTATAAAGTTGCAGATTTCGAAATGATATAGACACGAAACCAGCGCTTTACAATACAGAAATTTATTCAGTATTATATAATTATGTTGCGTTTGATGACTTTGTTATTTAAATTCAAAAACGTTAGAAAAGACACAAATATTATAAAAATTAATATGAACTATTTATTTACAACATAAAATATGAAATATAATATTTTCAAGTTAAATTCAGATGTTTCCCTTTAAAAAAAATACTTAACAATGTAATAAAAATCCCTGTTCACTATAGCATTGGTTAAAACACCTTTCTACAATTTTACAATACAGTTTAAGTCACTAAGTACTAAGAAACCTAGCGGAAAATACCTTTCAACAATACTTGATTCTCATGAGAATCTTTACCTGAGAGGAAGGTTTGGATTCCCGAGTTGTAATGGGAACCCTTTCCTGTTTGACATAATTTTGCCACATCCATATATCCCGTAATATTCCAATGTTTGAAGGAGTGGAATGGAAGTAAAGTATCTACAATTAAAAAAACAAGATGTGTTTGGGAAACATTAAGCGCCCGTTGGCAACAAAGTTCAAAAAAGTATTTTTAGCAGATGAGTCACAGTCAAGGTCACAGAGTCATTGACCTTAGTGACATTTGAATGATCTTGATTAGTTAACTACATGTCATTGTCGGAAACCCACGGGTGATCTCGTCTTTACTTATCACCTGTGGGCAAACTAGCTGAAATATCGCCGTAAAATATGCTAATTTGTTGTTTTTAGTCAACCAATCAGAAAGTTGGAACTCTTCAATTTTGAAAAATACGTTTATTACTTTGCTATTTATGGTAAATATTTTGACGCTCGTTAAAACGTGCGAAGTTTGATTTAAAACAATGTAAGTCAATTTGTACAGGTCACTGACATTAATATCCGTCCGGTATTATGATTGATTGTATATTGTTTAACGTCCCTCTCGAGAATTTTTCACTCATATGGAGACGTCACCGTATGTCGGTGAAGAGCTTCAAATTTTGACCTTTACTCGGCACTCAGGGCCATTGAGCAGTGAGGGATCTTTATCGTGCCAACGCCTGCCGCTGACACGGGGCCTCGGTTTTTAAGGTCTCATCCGAAGGACCCGCAACTTTTACTTCAAAGTGCCGAGCGCATGGCGAAGGAACAGTTGCTACCCATTTTATTGACTGGGTCAGTCGCGGCCGATATCACCTGTGATAACTACGGAGTGAGTTTTTCATGTTTTTGGCAATGCCGAACATGCATACGTAACGTAAACTTTGATTCGTTGTTTCGCATCGCGACTCTGTGAAGCGGCCAATCAAATGACCTATGCATATTTAATTACATACGACGATTTTTCGGCGAGTTTGTCCACGGGTGATAAGTAAAGACGAGATCACCCATGGGTTTCCGACGATGACTACATGTATGCATACCAAATATGAAGTCTCTCTCATGGTTAGAAGTTATGGCGAAAGTTCGAAAAAGCTATATTTAGCATGTAGGTCACAGTCAAGGTCACAAGGTCATTGACCTTCTTGAGAAGATTTTCAAAGATTTTTCCTATATATTTCTATGTGAAATTTTGATTCCCCATTGTGGCCCCGCCCTACCCCCTGGGGTCATGATTTGAACAATTTAGAATCTACACTACCCAAGGGTGCTTCCACATCAGTTTCAGCTTTTCTGGCCCAGTGGTTCTTGAGAAGAAGATTTTCAAAGATTTTTCCTAAATATTGCTATGTAAAACTTTGATTCCCCACTGTGGCCCCGCCCAAACCCCGGGGAGTCATGATTTGTACTATTTAGAATCTACACTATCCCAGGGTGTTTCCACATAAGTTTCAGACTTATTGGCTTAGTGGTTCTTGAGAAGAAGATTTTTAATGACCCCACCCTATTTTTGTCTTTTCTTGATTATCTCCCCTTGTGGTGATTGGGATAAGCACGCGCCCTGCGCCATAGTCGCATTAAATTTTAAAATGTCACATTAATATTAACTGCGCCGTCGTGGCGCATATATCATGCACAACATACTTTTTAACTTTGAGCTTTCCCCCAAGTGTTTGTAACTGTTTTAATGATCGCTGTCATTTTACGCTTGAAAAAATAGTGGCTAATTTCGTTCAGTCAAAGCGTTAATATGACTTCGTTTTCCTCAGTATCTAATCAAACAGTTACGCGTTTTCTGGTTGGCTAATACCTTTAATTTTGACATTTAGCGCGCACGAAGTAGGCCTTAAACAGCATGCCGCCTAAGAAAATTCCACGTCCCGAAAAAGGACAAACCCTGCTTAATTTTAACAAACAGAATCCCAATAAATCGGCCGAAAATGACGCAGATGATGTACTTGAACATGCTGACTGTGACAGAAGGAGCGAAGATGAACTTCAACATAATGACGGTAAGACTGATGTCTCGAAGGAAAAACCGAAACGCAAGTTCAACACAAATTGGTTGAAAATTTGGCCTTGGTTATATATAAAAGATCAGAAAATGTACTGTAAGGACTGTATTAAAGGCAGAAAATCAAATTCACTGACGGTTGCATTACGTTTCGAACGTCGTCTATGAGTAGACACGAATCAACATCAGACCATGCGGCATGTGTAAATGTCGTAAGTTTAAACTTAAGAAGTGACATGCAAAAAGCTATGAAAAAAATTAAAGAGGGCGAGGACCAAGTAGTATGTAAATTACTTAAATCTGTTCAATGGCTAGTCAACGAAAATTTACCTTTATCCAAATATGAAAGTTTGACATCATTTCTTAAAGAAGTGAATGTACCTGTATTAGATGTTTGGTGTGACAATTATCGAATTAAATACCAGTCTTACTACACTGCAAATGAATTGTTAGATTCTTTGAACTTTGTTGCTGACTGTGAAGTGAATAAAAAGTGTAGAGAATCACCATACATGTCCATTCTAGCTGATGAAAGTACTGACATTTCAAATACTCGCAGAATGACTATAACAGCCCGTGTAATTGACCCTAAAACATTAGAGTGTTCCACAATACTTCTTCAAGATCTCGAATATGAAGATGGTACTGGTGTTGGTTTAACACAGCAAATTACTAATCAACTGTGTAAACGATCCCTGTCAATCTCTAAAGTAATAGGACTAGGCAGTGACGGGGCATCTGTGATGACTGGTCTAGGCAAAGGGGTGTATGGCCGACTGAAAGAACTAAATCCCCTCATCATCAATGTACACTGCATGGCCCATAGACTTGCTTTGTGTACATCACAGGCAGCTAACAGCATCCCTACATTGAAGAAATACCAAGAATTTCTAACGAACTTATTTTATTATTTTAAGCAAAGTGCTGCACGTGAAAAAGAACTTCACAAAATTCAGGAATTTCTCGACCACCCAACTCTTCGCTATAGAGAAATTCATGCTGTTAGGTGGATGTCATTTTTGGAAGCATTACAGGCTGTTTACAGAACCATTGATCCCCTCATAACATATCTTCACAACTGCATCGCAGCAAAGGATCCAAAAGCAAAAGGGCTTCTAAAATACACTTCATCAAGGACTTTTCTGTTTATCACCTATCTCATGATGGATGTCATACCTATAGTGTCAAGGCTATGCCTTGCATTTCAGAAAGAAGACCTAGATATTGCCAAGGCAAAGGTACTATGAAGAATTAATATTAGGATAATCTAAATCAATGAATACCTAAAAAAAATATTCATTAATTGTTTCATGTACAAAATGATTCAGATTAATAGATTTTGGAATTTATATAATGAGTTGCCAAAAAAAAAATGAAAAATTAAAAATGAATTTAAAAACATCAATTGAATTTAAATGATGATCAAATCACATATATACCAAATAAAATGATTAAGAAAATGCAATTCTTGCTTCCATATATTTTAATTTTTCATTCATTTTAAAAAAAAAACTGCAATTTTTGTTCAATCGCTCAGGCTTCATTTATGATATTTGTTATTGGATAGTTATATACTATTTTTAAATGCAGATTTCCATTGACCTATGCCTTTTTGACCTTGAATCATATAAATCTGGTGACATGATCTTCAAGACTCATCTGGCAGAAGAAATTGACACAATGGAAAAGGTTGGAGATCATTATGAGTATCATGGACATAAGCTCACAGTGGATAAGACCAATTATTCTGCATTGAAGAGTGTGTTCTTGAACAAACTCATTCAAAATATTAGAGACAGGTAAACTTTAAAATTTATTGTCAAATTCCCATGATGGATAAATTCATAATTCAAAATATTGCAGCGCCACCTAATAGTGGATTCAATAAATTCATAATTAATCAATAATGTGTAATGTTAATGCTTTAAATATGCCTAAAATTGTCATGGATGTTACTTTATATTTTGATTACAGGTTTCCTGCAAAGAGCCTTATTGACAGTTTTTTTGTTCTGGCCATGAGGACTATTAATTTTGAAAAAGACATCATGAGCTATGGTACAGAAGAAATTGAATGTCTTCTGAAACATTATGGTGAAAAACAGGTACTCTTGCAGTCCTATATCTTTTTAATGATTTAAAAAAAATCTTATGGTAGAACTGTAAGAGTTGCCATATCTTACTGTCTTAAAACTTAACAATTTTTTTCTTGAAAAGATTCACAATGGCCACACACCTGATCCCCTTCTTGACAGGGACTTGGTTAGGAGAGTCAATGGAAGGAGGCAAAGATCATTGTCCAGTCTAATAAATATCCGGTGGATGACATGTCTGCACTGTGGAAGCTTTTGTCAATGCATCATAATGATTCATTATCAGAAATCATCAAATTGGCCCAAATTGCCCTCCATCTTCCTCTCCACACTGCGTGTGTTCAGCCAACAAAATCTGATCCTCACCAAACAGAGAAACAGACTCTCTCCCAACATTTCAGATAAGATAAACTGTTGCGTGTTAAATTGGAAGGAAGCAATATAGATTTAGAACTGGCTCTAAAGCATTTTAAGGATGCCAAACAAAGAAGAATAAAAATAAAGGATTGAATTATTAAATTGCAGTGTTTATTTATTATACACGAATTTGGTTTCATTTTCATGTCATTAATTTTAATGATCATTCAGTAAGACAATCGCAATAAAGTAAAGTCAACTGAAATTCTAACAGCAACTATAGTCAATTGCAAGTTTGTAACTAGGTGATGTCCCATTAAAAAATCTGTTTGGCGCATTGAATTTTGAAATGTCACATTGACACTGACTTGGAGTGTGCCATTGTCACATTTACTCCCTAGCTTATCCCAATCACTGCCTTGTGAGGGGACTTGGCCCTTTATTTTAACAATTTAAATTCCCCTTTACCCAAGGATGCTTTGTACCAAGTTTGGTCAAAATTGGCCCAGTGGTTCTTGAGAAGAAGACGAAAATGTGAAAAGTTTACAGACGGACGGACGACGGACAAAATGTGATCAGAAAGGCTCACTTGAGCCTCCGGCTCAGGTGAGCTAAAAAAACTAGTTTTGGGGGAAAAAAGTGTTTGGGAGGGGGGGGGGGCTTGGAACACGTAAAATAAAACTCTATGTTTCATTATATATCATATAGTAAGATGGTAAAATAGAAAGAAAATTATAACAACACTGTTATTTTCAGCTCAATAAAACAAAGCATATTTAACACAAGATTTAGTGTTTGGACTTCACTAAATTTGCTATATAAGGTGTTACCGGGTATGTTATTTCTCGAAGAAAAGTTGCAACGGTATTAATTAATGTTTCTGCCAATTTTTGTGTTAACTTAATAAAATATATTCATTATTTATTATTTAATACAAATCATTAATTTTCAGCATATCATAATATATTTATTTTGAGTCCTTTAGATTTCCTTTTGGGTTGAAATAGTTCTTTTTCTCGGCGTCTCTTGGTTTCTGCGACAGGAGTTTCCAAGTTCCTGTCCTTTATTCTGTCTAGCTCATTTTCACCCATACATCTGGTGACACATGATTTTAAAGCCGTCTTCTAGGATGTAGTTAGCATTATCATGAATAGATCAACTAAGATCCTTGAACTGAAACGCTAATATTCAATTTATTTCGCTGATCAGGACCAAGAGTTTATGTGGTTTAAAATTGATTGCTACCTTCAGTCTAGTATTTATTCATGGATTCTGAGTTATTATTTGTCCACAGCTCGCATGAAGTTATACACAATACAATTCATTTCATAAGGTCTTGCTTTTGTAGAATGCCTGTTCACATTCACTTAAACACTTAAAAACTAAACAACTCCATAGTGAAAAAAAAACCCTTTTGATCCGCTCCATCCCCATCAGATAATCGAATTTCACGTCATCAGAACGGCATATAAAACACACATTGGCCTCTGGAATGTCTAAGATTGACTTTAAAACCTCTGCTGATAGGTTTCAAAAACACTACGAAACCATTTATTACACACAGCACAAAACTCTCAGGAATTGACCTTTTTTTCTGCAACCACCACAAAGCCACTAATTTCTCTTTCTATGTGATTGCTTACGTGCCAATGTGGTACTGTAATGTTATATTCTCCCTCACTTTGTTCGTCCAAATGAAAAGCAATTATATTCTAAACGTGAAATAATCAGATTAAAATTTGTATGTAAGGAATGGTATTCGCTATGACCTTTTTATTTTGCATTACAAAATATAATTATTATGGTGGCATATTTCTGCCCCCTACGTGCAAGATAAATTATGTTAACGTGCAACATAACTGTGTAGACATGCATCATATGTATGTCAACATGCAAGATAATTATGTTGACATGCACGTTACCAATCTTATAACAAAATATAATTTAAATATGGGTAAAGAAAAAAGACCATGTTTCGTCATATTGTCTCTTTGATTTCTCAATTTTCAAAGTAGAATGAATAGAAATAAAATTATTATCAAGGGATAATTCGCTGTTTATACTATCCCAACACACCAAAACCGATTAAGGACGGGGTTTTTTCAGAAATTCTCTATTCTTTCTATTTTAGTCATGTTTTTCATATACAGCGCAACCTCTGATCTAAAATGTAACGACATTCCATTAAATCTCTTCAATAAAGAAACAAAACTGTAAATAGATTTTTTAGATCAGAGGGTGCGCTGTTGATGAAAATCAACTTTAAACTAAAGCAAGGAGCAATCCGGAATTATTTATTTTCGTGACGATTTTATTCATTTTAAGAGTTGTGCTGCTTTAAAAAATAAAAATAAATAGCTACGCGCAAATAAGATATTAAAAAAAATTCAGCTGAAATTAAAACCACTTTGTGCTTTTATTAATATTAATTAAGCTCATTTACATACGTAAACAAATAAATCAGAAGTTTGACGGTAATTAATTATACACTAAGTCTTCAAAAAATTATGTCCTCCAGAAAGAAAAAAAAGGATCCTATTGGAGGTAAGTAATTTTATTTATTAGGTCTTTCCACCTTTCTGTGGAAAGACCTCTTGAAATGCTTCTGTTTTTTATTTTATTTCTCACCTTATGTTTTGACACCGTAAAACTTATCGAAAAACTGTTTAGTTCATGAGACTGGATATTTAAAGTTATTCCGAAAAACTGCCGGCTGATTTCGTTCTATTCTCTCCTGGGTCTCCTTTTCCATTACTCTCCTTGTGTCTTCTGATCGGTTTCTTTTTGGTGGTAGTTGATTTTCCTTCTCCCCTTGATTGTAACTTGAACTTCTCTGATGTGACCTTTTCCTCTTTCTTTGTTGGATCTGGTGACGCTCCGATGGTGTTCGGCATTGATCTTCTTTTTTTACAGAAATCTTT